TGTCAGCTGTTGGAGACATTCAGGAAGATTTTAGACAGCAATAAAACTGCACTGAAGGTTGAAACTCTTCCATGGTATTTTAAATATGTCCATCAAGAATAGCCTCTCATTATAGCAAAATTAAATTGCAAAAATTACTTGAAAGCTTTGCCTTCCTGTTTCCTAATTGTACACACACTGCCACACATGTGCACCTCAGTGTACGATATAATACAATTCTAGAGCTTCTGGAAGTAAGAGCAGGGACAAATTAAGTGCATACACAGAAGTGATCCATGGCCATCCAATGGAGAAGACTGCAAATCCCAAACCCAGATGAAGACAGGATAAGAGATGGCAGCAGCATTGATGGAACAATGAGGTGGAGCATGGGCTTCACATCACTGAAAGAGGGCACTTTGGCATACTTGCACACTATGATGGAGGCTCTGGAGCCAAAAACCACGCTTAGTTCAAATATATTTGGTTTTAGGCTCCAAGTACTGACCCTATAAATACTCATTTGGTTAATTCTGTACATCAAAAATTCCCGTAATGTTTCTCATTAATCAGACTCTAAGAGCATTAGTTTGGCATATTGGCGATTGACTCATACAACTGTAACTTCAGGTTAGGGGTCTACAGCCGAGGCCTTTTAGATGAGATAGTGAGTCCAAATTGATAAAGAAAGGTGCATTTATTACACTGCAGTAGGGATAATATAGCATACAAAGGTTCCCCTCGTATGATATGAACTAAGGTAAACAAAATATATACAGTATCTGTCTCTTAAGCTTTAGACTATTACATATATAGACATAAGATCCGGGCATTATCGTATAAAGTCCAGGCGTGTTCGTATAGTTTAATCCAATCAAATCCTTATATGCTTGACAGCAAGTGGATGTTAACATCATATGATCAGTTCAAAATAGAGACTTGTGGTCAGGGGTGGACTGACAACTCATGGGGCCCCCAGGCAATAGAGGATCATGGGGCCCCTGTGTCCTTGCCCAAACTCAAAAAAGCCTATGAAAAAGGTACCAGGGGCATCTCATGGGGCCCCCTACTTACACTGGGTCCTCGGGCAGCGCCCGATTTTCCAAATGGTCAGTCCGCCACTGCTTGTGGTCATCCATCATGACAGTTGCTTGTTCAAACTGGTTTGACCGTAAGATGCTTTTCTTATCCTTGAAAAAGGAATATAGCTGGCTAGATGCTTACGTCACAGGTACAAACTTCAAACCACATTTCCTGAGTAGAAGAAAAGGAAATGCAGTAAAAACTCTTAAATGACCGTATATATATGTGTATAAGAAAATTTATTATTAGACCCCCCATATTTCTACTGACAACCAATCTCTGTCCTGTAATCCTGTTCTTCTATACCATCTTTAGTAACTCTGAAATTCATACACCTAATATCTGGAAGTGTAAAATCACAGTCTCTGCTTTATATTGTAGGTACAGAAGGTTTACCCCCATGCTGGTTTGCATACATAGGTTACATTTTTGGTTGAATTGCTAGTTTGCCCCATGACTTGCTCACCTCTTGTTTTAAAGAAAACATCCAGTCTTTTTTTTAAGTTAAGCTGTGAAAATAAAAGATGATAGCCCTTAATTGTCCAATCTAAAAACATATAAAAAGTGTCAGCTTTAGTTAGATTCTTTCAGGTTGCCTTAACATTCTATTATAAATGTTGCAATTTTTCCATTGAACTTCAGGACATTTTACAACTTAACTGCCTAAAACCATCTTCCTTCTATACACAACTGATGGGCCTTTTCTTTTATGTAGTCCTTAAATTATAAAACTAATTTTTTAAATCCTTATACTGACTTTGGGTATTTTTATACATATTAATTAGGTCATTGCTAAGGCTCCTTGTTTCTCTGAAGCTACACAAGTTTAGTTTTCTAGATTTGTCTTATACATGACACATCACTCATGACACCTCAATCCATTTTATTAATTTGGTTGCCTGCCTTTGAACCCACTTTAAATCGACTTTGTCTTTACACAGTGTGGTTCCTGAAACTATACATCATATTCATGATATGGTCTTACCAAGGGCATCTTGAGCATATTATTTTTTCCTCTATGGTATAGGGTGTCTGTTTTCTTTAAAAGAATGTGTATACATTTTTCTGTTGTCAGCCAAGTAATTTTAGACCTCATGGACTTGTGTATGTGCAGCCCTCAAATTTTAGGTTTTAAGATCGATAATTATGAAGTTGGATATTAATGATTATGATGGATGATGCAGTCATACAAGAGTCATGTTAGTGCATATGGCTGCCCCTGACAATATGTGTCTCTCTTCTCCGCTTGTACTCTGATTATATAGCTTGTGTATCTGCTCATAGCCCTGGGTGGCAGTCCCTTTAAGGTTTGGGAGCCACTCAACTTGGGCATAATGATTGCAACACTGGATCCCTCTTATCTCCCTTCCCTCTCCTCTCTGCTTCTTGTGTGGGCAGTGCAGTCTGGGAGAATAGAGATGGGAGGAAGCTGCAATGTGTTTGGCCCTAAACCAGGTCAGGAGAAAGCTTCCCCAAGCTGTTGAGTAACATGACTCCCAGTCTGAGACCAACCGCTGGTGGGGATGGAGGTAGGGCTCAGCTCAAGGAAGGTGTCAGAATGAGGATTTACCCTTATGGGTATTGTTAACATTTAGATATCATCAATGCTTGTGTGATTTTGTGGGTATGGTTAAAAGTGGGCATGTTAAGTAAGCTACCCCCAGATTTATAGTCACCTTATCATATATACCCAGCAGAAGCACCATAAAATCTTGCAATTTTAGTTTTCTTCAAATAGTGCTCTCACAGAGTATACATTGTCCCCTCTTGACTTCTAATATGTCTTTGATATCATGATGAGGAATCATCAGCTATCCTGTTAAAGAATCTCACTTTTTCTGCTGTATTTTTTGGAATGTTTAAAGTACAACTAAATTCTAACTGACAGGGATTATAACATTCTCTTACTCTAAGGTAAGTAAAAAAAAAAAAGTTTTGCCTATTTTACTCTAGTTCTATTTTAATACTTGCCAGGGGGAGTGAACCCCAGGTAATGGCTGCAGAATGTAGGTGGACCAGGGCACTCAACTTCAGAGATCTTGTCACTGGGATCCTTAAGTGATAAGAAGAATCTACCCAAAAATAAGAACAAATCTTATCACAATTTCTGATTTTTTTTCATATGCTCTTCATATATCCATTTCTTTGTTGTCCAGTTCTTATGCTCATATGCATCATTTGCAGGCGCTTTTGGCTGTGAACACAGGTCAGCATGGGCACCCTGACTGGTCTGCGATTCTGCAGCCACATACACAATAAACTGTGATGCCTTGTGTGCTCTGACTCCTTTCTATCAGAACCAGCATTACCTTTTTAGCAATTTGTGCTACAGTAGCTCTTCTATGGATCAGACTACATGGGCCAGCCATCCCTCCCTATGTGCATCACTGAGCCTTGGCCAACCATGACCCTGTTGCCTCTTCCGGTTTTCCTTCCTTGGACCACTTTTGGTAGGTCCTGACCATTGCAGACCAGGAACGTGCAACAAGAATGACAGATTTGGAGTTGAACTGACCCAGTTGTTTAGCCATTACAGTTTGACCTTTTTCAAAGTCACTCAAATCCTTGCGCTTGTTTACTTTTTCTGCTTTCAACACATCAACTTTAGGAACAACATGTTCACTTGCTGCCTAATACACTCAACGGTCACTTTATTAGGTACACCTGTTCAATTGCTTCAGCCAATCACATGGCAGCAAATCAATGCATTTAAGTATGTAGACGTGGTGAAAATGACTTGCTGAAGTTCAAATCAAGCATCAGAATGGGGAAGAAAGAGGATTTAAGTGAGTTTTAATGTGGCATGGTTGTTGGTGCCAGACGGGCTGGTCTAAGCATTTCAAAAACTGCTGATCTACTGGGATTTTCACAGAGAGGTCAGAGGAGGATGAGCAGACTGGTTGCTGCGACATTCAGATGGTAGGGTCAGCATTTGGCGTAAACAACATGAAAGCATGGAACCATTGTGCCTTGTATCAACAGTCCAGACTGGTGGTGGTGGTGTAATGGTGTGGGGGATATTTTCTAGCAAGGTGTACCTAATAAAGTGTTAATAGTTAATGGGTTGTATCCACCGGCTGGTACCTTGCTACAAAGATTATAATAGGTGCCACGTCTTAGATCAGAGTTTAGGTTGTAAATTATGGACTTTGTAGGCTCATACCCAACACCATTTGTAATATTAAAACAATATAATTTATTCATACAGTTATAGAAAACAATTAATCCATAGTTAAAAATTTAGATATACAATTTTTGGAATATGATGTGATACCCCTGAAACCATAATGCAGTAGAGGCGCCCAACTGGAATAAAGTTGTAATGGGTACCCACACTTGATAACTGGGTCCTCCAACTGCGGGGGTTTCACTGTCCACAGATTTGCTCAGCTTTACATATTTTGTGATTGAGATCGCTTCTTCAGGAGCTAGCATATAGCATCTATATTTAAGAAAAATACATATAATTATTATAGATGCATAATAATTCTTTTTATACACAGTATGAAAATAATAACAGCAGTACAGTTACTAAAAGTAAGAAATTAATCATGCAAAAGGAAATACACACTCCTACGGTGAGAAATGGCTCCACAGACTAGCAGTGGGAAGGTCACCAGAGTCAATGCAGGGGCGTACAGCAAACTTCAGAAATATTACAAATGGTTTTGCATATGTGCCTAAAAAGTTCATGATTTACAACCCAAACTTTACCTAATAAAGTGGCCGGTGAGTGCATATCCCACCTACTTTCAGATGTCAATGTAACAAGAGATAATCACTGTTATTCACTTTACCTGTTAGTGGTCATAATGATATGGATGATCGGTGAGTAAATATATACACTATATTGCCAAAAGTATTGGGACACCCCTTCAAATCATTGGATTCAGGTGTTCCAATCACCTCCATAGCCACAGGTGTATGAAATCAAGCACCTAGGCATACAGACTGCTTCTACAAACATTTGTGAAAGAATGGGTCGCTCTCAGGAGCTCAGTGAATTCAAGCGAGGTCCCGTGATAAGTTGCCACCTGTGCAATAAGTCCATCCGTGACATTTCCTTGTTACTAAATATTCCACGGTCAACTGTTAGTGGTATTATAACAAAGTGGAAGCAAATGGGAACAATAGCAACTCACTTAAAATGACAGAGCAGGGTCAGTGTATGTTGAAGCGCACAGTGCGCAGAAGTCACCAACTGTCTGCAGAGTCAATAGCTAAAAACCTCCAAATTTCTTGTGGCCTTCAGATTAGCATAACAACAGTGTATAGAGAGCTTCATGGAATGAGTTTATATGGTCGGGCAGCTGCATCCAAGCCTTACATCAACAAGTGCAATGTAAAGCGTCAGATGCAGTGGTGTAAAGCATGTGTTCTCTGGAGTGACGAATCACGGTTCTCTGTCTGGAAATCCGAAGGACATGTCTGGGTTTGGCGGTACTTGCCTGACTGCATTGTGCCAAGTGTAAAGTTTGGTGGAGGGGGGATTATGGTGTGGGGTTGTTTTTCAGGGGTTGGGCTTGGTTCCTTATTTCCATTGAAGGGAACTCTTAAGGCGTCAGCATACCAAGACATTTTGGACAATTTCATGCTCCCAACTTTGTGGGAACAGTTTGGGGATGGCCCCTTCCTGTTCCAACAAGACTGCACACCAGTGCACAAAGCAAGGTCCATAAAAACATGGATGAGCGAGTTTGGGGTGGAGAAACTTGACTGGCCTGCACAGAGTAGTGACCTCAACCCAATAGAACACCTTTGGGATAAATTAAAGTGGAGACTGCAAGCTGGACTTCTCATTCCACATTAGTGCCTGACCTCACAAATGTGCTTCTGGAAGAATGGTCAAACATTCCCATAGACACACTACTAAACCTTGTTGACGGCCTTCCCAGAAGAGTTGAAGCTGCTATAGCTGCAAAGGGTGGGCCAACTTAATATTGAATCCTACAGACTAAGACTGGGATGCCATTAAAGATCACGTGCGTGTAAAGGCAGGTGTCCCAATACTTTTGGCGATATAGTGTATCTATTATTAATGTTATATTAGATATATGACCATTGATCAAATAGGTACAATCCAGGGATCATATTTGAGTGGCCACTATTTAAAATATTTTTGTTTTTCAGCTAGCTATGTATCTGTTAATTCGTGTAAATAAAAATATTAATTTCACACATGAGCTGCAGCCGTCTTGTGTTCAAACCCCCACAACCCTTTGGGATCCTTGATCCCTAGTCACTTCTTTAACTTGAGCATTGGTAATCCAAAACGCAATAGGAGGCCAAAGCAACAAACATATATCTGTGCAGTTCAATCAGAATGTTAAATATTGCATAAAAATAACAATTCAACCTGACAGCCTGATGAGTATCACAAACCCCCACAAGGGGAAGTCATCACCACAAATTCCATACACAAGCATCTCATTTCACATAGAGAAAGTTGTGATTTATGGCAGCAATCTGTCAGGCGAGGAGCACACGTCTGTTTGCCTGTAAATAAAAACTGTATCCACTTGTGATCATTTAGCTCATGTACCGGTGGCGGTAATGCAATGCAGCGTCCTAACACACCGCATCAGGCATTCCATTCATAGAGGCACAGAGAACCTGGCTGACAAAACGCCATGATATCAGTCTTGATAATCACTTATGTGTTCTATCTAGCATTAAGAAATTCTCGGCACATTTTCAGGACATTCATCACACCTGAAGGAGCTCTATTTGCCTGTCACATGATTTATGCTGGTGTCACCCCGACCGCTTGCTTTCATATATATTCACATTGCGGTGACTGACACGGTTTCTGTCTTGCGTACATGTGCAGCTAGTCAGCGTTAATGCTCGGAGCTTGATGCGGTCTGGTCATGCTGTGAATTCCTCTGTGGAATTTGATAATTTTGCAAGCAAACTGAAATCAGAAGCAGTCTGGAATATTGACAAGGGGATTCGTCTTTTCTAATACAGATGTGTACCAGTATGTCTAGGGAGTACACGTCTGGTGGGTTTGATTTACTATACACAAATAGACTGTTCACTGTACAAGAGAAGTTGCACTTTGCAAAGGACATTTCCCCACAGCTTAGTGAATGAGGTAAAGGTCTGCTGACTTCTATCATCAGATCACGTTGAAGCAAGAATGCTTATTAATATAATATATTATATAATATATTATTTTTATTATATTATTATTATTACTATTATTATTTTGCTGTTAATAACGATGATGATGATTATTATTATTATACAGGATTTATATAGCGCCAACAGTTTGCGCAGCGCTGTACATTATAATGGGAGACAGTACATGAGACAGTACAGTAACAATACAATTCAATACACGAGGGGTTAGAGGGCCCTGCTCCTTGGAGCTTACAATCTAGGAGGGAAGGGATAGTGGTACAGGAGGAAAAGATGTGGGGATGGAGTGGTAGGAAGAGTGGAGGAGTTCAGTAATTAGCTAAGGCAGGGTAGGCTTCCCTGAAGAGATAGGTTTTCATGGTGTGCCTAAAGGTGAGGAGAGTAGGTGATAGTCTGATGGATTGGGGTAGGGAGTTCCAGAGGATGGGGGAAGCCCTGGAGAAGTCCTGGAGACGGGCATGGGAGGAGGAGATCTGGGAACTAGAGAGTAGGAGGTCTTGTGAGGAGCGGAGAGAACATTTTGGGTGGTATTTGGATACCAGATCGGTGATGTAGTTAGGGGCAGTATTATGAACAGCTTTATATGTCAATGTTAGCAATTTGAATTTTATCCGTTGGGCAATCAGAAGCCAGTAGAGGGATTGGCAGAGGGGGGTGGCGGATATGGAGCGGTTGGTAAGGTGGATGAGTCTGGCCACAGCATTCAAGATAGACTGAAGCGGGGATAGCCTGTGGTGAGGTAAGCCGATGAGGAGGGAGTTACAGTAGTCAAGTCGTGAAATAATAAGGGAGTGAATGAGTTGCTTAGTGGTTTCCGAGGTTAGGAACGGCGTATTTTGGAGATGTTGCAGAGGTGAAGTCTACATGAGTTTGTCAGCGATTGGACCTGGGGCTGGAAGGACAAATTGGAGTCTATGATTATTATTATTATTTTCCTTGCACATGATTGGTTAGTCTTTGCAAAGTGAAATTTTATCACATGCACTAAGCCCTGGGGAAGACTCCCTTGTAAATTGCAACTTCACTTGCAGGGGGAAAAACCTACTTGCCTTTAGTAAATCAACCCCCTATGTGAAATACTTAATACTAGTTTTGCAGTCAGGAAGTAAGAGAAAGGGCCCCTGAATGCAGGGGGGAAGGGGTGAGGCTCTGTGTTTGGTGGAGGGAGTAGCAAGGCATTATAACCAAGAGTACCTGTCTGTTGGCATGTGCCATCATCTTGTGTGTAACTGGTTGCCCAGTTTCTCTTCCTTTTTTTGTATAGTGAGCTCATATTTAATGTGTGTGTAATAGGTAGGGCTTAAAGTGACTCAAAACTCTAGTTTTTAGGAAAACATTATTAAAGGATACTGTATATTCTTAATTCAAAGCCTTCAGCCTCCTTGTAGTCTCCATATCCCTTTCGTTTGCTGCTGACATCTGACTTCCTGTTAAAGGGTGGCTTCATCATCCAACTGTATGTAGGAACATTGCCACCCTCTCTTGCTTGCTCCAAAAATAGGCTATGGGACTTGTAGTGTGCATAGATCAGTGTACATGACTGCAACTAACATACAGAAGTGAGGGGGGAAATAATAGGTTTGGAAGCTCATGGAACACATTACAGGGAGGCAGAAAAACACAGTAAGAAATAATTTCATGAAAAAAAGATTACAGGGTCAATAAGCAGTGGATTCATATTGATTTTTTTTAAAATAAGGATATTATTTAGTGTAATTTAAATCTTATCCAAACCCCCCCAAAATGAAACAATATATTGCGGCTTACCAGTCCTTAGATGTAGCTTCTGTAGTTGATATTTTTACATTATTTGGTAATCCTATGAATAATACTCTTCCTGGGAGGCTAAATTCACCCCTCCACTATGTCTATGGAGGGAGCCATGGTTGCCACTCAAGCATGTCTGCCATTGTTTGGATGATGGGGAGATTATTAGTTTACAAAGAAAAGATAAGTCTGCTTTCAGTGCAATGCACAGTAAGTTAAAATGGCACTGAATGCCTGGCAAGGTCAACAGATATTTTCTGTACTTGTTGAAAATGTTCTTAGTCTGAAAAAACAAGAAAACTAATACAGCCACCACATCTAATGGTTGGTAAGCTGCAATAAATGATTTTGTTTTGGGGTTTTAATATGCTTTAATCTCTTTACATTTTTTTGGGTTTATTTTCTGTTCCAACAGCTCCATAAAGACATGGTTTGACTAGTTTGATGTGGAGTAACTCGAGTGGCCTGCAGGAGGCCCAGACATTTACATGCTTCCAACCCTGTGGTAATAGTTAGGAGTAGGCTCTTTTCTGTTCCAAAAGCTCCATAAAGACATGGTTTGACTAGTCTGGTGTGGGGAACTCAAGTGGCTTGCACAAGGTTGAGCCATTTCTGTGCTTCCAACCTTGTGGTAATAGTCTGAAGAAGGCCCTTTTTTGTTCCAACAGCTTCATAAAGACATGGTTTTACTAGTATGGTGAGGGAACTCAAGTGGCCTGCAGAACGTCTAGCCATTTGTGTGCTTCCAACCTTGTGGTGAATGTTTGAAGAAGGATCTTTTCTGTTCCAACAGCTCCATGGTTGACTTGTCAGTTATGGAAGAGCTCAAGTGGCCTACACAAGGCCTAAACCTCAATTCCACTAACACCTTTGAGATAAATGAAAACATTATGAGTCAGGTCTTCTCATTCAACATTACAACCAGACTTCACAAGTGCTGTTTTGGCTGAATGGGTTCCACAAACACCCCCCAAAATCTTGTGGAAAGCCTTACCAGAAGAGTGGAGACTGTCTTAGCTGTATTGAGGCAGACAGATCCATATTAATGACAGTGACTTTGGAATGCAAAGGAAACTCTTATAAGTGTCTGGTGTTCACAAATGTTTGGCCATACAGTGCATCATTTTTTTTTTATTATTATTATTACTATTATTTTTATAATACACGATTCATATAACAGTTTGCACAGTGCTTTAGAAATTGAAGGGAGACAGTACAGTTACAATACAAGTCAATACAAGAGGGATCAGGAGGTCCCTCTTGTTATATGTTACCATAAAAAGCAAGGGTCAAGTGATACAAAAGGTAATAACTGTGAGAAACAAAAAGTAACGTTTATTAGTTGTAAAACATGCACCCACTCCAGATCGGTACACCACTATTGTGCTCTGCAATAAGATAGGGTCCAGGTTTGGTTCATGCTGTAGTTACTGAAGAGAGTGAAGGTGGTTTACTGCACACCCAAAAATTAAAACTCCAACTTCTTTATTTCCTCTATTAACATCTTGACAACAGCACAGTTACACAAGGAACATGGTTAACATGTTTCACCTTGCAGACG